GTAGAAGGACAGGGTCTAAGCCCTGTACTTTTAAATTTGTTGTATCAATAGAAGAAAGTAGACCAGTGATACCTTTATTCTTCATCAAAATAAATTCTGTACCAAAAAGGAATTATGACTTCAACTTAGTAACTATTGTAAAGATTTCTACCAAATGAGATTATGGCTACACAATCAATTCTAGCTGTTTCCTCCCTGTTCCAATTGTGACCATTTCTCAGTTTCCCTTAAAGGCAACCTTAGAATAACCACCTCCATCCCCAAAGCCCAGGAACTGGGATGACAACACTTCATACCTTCTTCAAGCAGAATATAGGCATTGAGATATTTTTGAAGGGGGGTGAGGGAAGCTAGGGAAAATAGGGAGTTGGGTGGCCTTCAGAAGGCCACCCCAACAATTGATTTAGTCTCTGATGTCTGTGTCCTCACTGGATCTGGCTGAAAGTCCAAGACATCAGTAATTCAAGCAGGTCAGTTCAGCATGTCTGACGATGAGACCCATCAAAGCTATATATTCTGTAATATACAAATCTCAAAACAAAAATTTAGTATCATCAAGATAACTTTTTTGTTTGGTTCTCTGGAATCTAGTTCTTGGAAGGTCTCTCACTATGAAATCTGATCAATATTACTCTGGAAGGTGTATAGACACTGATTGCCTTTTCTCAAAATGCAAAGACAAAACCTTACTCCTAAATCAGCTTGTCTTTGAGCCAGTAAGCAGAAAAATATTTATATGGACCTCTTTCCTAGAGGAATAATATAGCCACAAAACTGAAATTCACACTCACCTTGAAAATTAAAACAATCCAAAAAAAATGAAGTAAACTAAAATCCTGTATGTGCCTATTCTTAGGCCTTTTGTATTTTGTCAAGCAGGATAATAACCCAAAATTCCCATAAAGCCCACGTTAGACAGAATTTAAGTATCCTGTAAGGCGTATTAGAGCAATATATCTTTATACCATCTTTAAAGCATTTGATTCACACTTCTATCTATACCCTCTTATAAGCAGGCAGTTAGTCAAACCAGGATTTGAACCCAAAATTCTCATGGAGCCCACATTAGACAGATTTGAACATCAGAACAATATATCTTTATACCATCTTTACAGCAATTAATTCAAACTTTCACTAACACCAGCCTACAAGAAGCAGGTAATTTTGACTTGTTAAGCTCTCTTCCTGAGCAGCCATCTTGTTATACCATCTATCTGTTGAGTTCTCTGACTAGAGCAGACATCTTCTTATACCATTTATCTGTTTGGCTCTCTGCCTGAAGCCACAGTCATTTATAATTAATACCTGTATCTGTTGAACTCTCTATCTGGAGCCACAGACATTATTAATTAATACCTGAGCATAGCAGGTAATTATCACTGCTCGCTTTACTTGGGGTCAGTGACTAATTTTCCCTACCCTAGTTCCAAACCACGGGCAAAATTCCGCAAGTGATTCAGACAAAATCTGTATATACATCTTTCTTAAAAGCAAATAAACCCAATTTTATAAATTCACAGTTCAATCAATCTCTGCCCCAAGAAGTAGACAGCTTTCATTCTCCTGTCTCTGACTCAGAGCAGCCTGCACTCCCCACAGCAGAGTACCTCAGAGGCTTCTTTGTTTCAAGGTTCCTGCACTTGAGTCCATGTGACTCCTCTCAGAGCTAACCAGCTACTCACTTAAAAAAAAAAACTCTCTCAGGCTAATAATCTTATATTTCTAGTGGATTCTTCCCCAAAATCTTGATTCATCATCTGTTGAAGGAAATATTAAAAATGAACTGAAAGTTCCAACACTATACAGCTACTCTCTGCCCGGCAGTCTCATTGCCTCTTGGCTAGCCCCAGTTGGCAGTCTTCCCTTCTCCAGTTCGCCTGCCTCAGAGCCGCCTATACCTTCTCAGCTGTCCACCTCTTGGGTTCGGCAGTCCCAGATCCCAGTAACCCAGTAAATTAAAACTCTAGACACTTATAATTAATCAGTCAGATTTATATATCAGTAAATTCTCAATTCACAAGTTCCCCACGCAATAAATTCAGGGCCAATTGATAATGATAAAAGCTGCCCACCTAGATTCAACAAGTTACCCTAATTATTCTATCCCTGTTTGATATTATAGCTCCTTGTGGCTGTTTAAAGCCACTCAGTATCTGAATTGTCCCGTTTATCCACCATTTTCCTTTCCTTCACCTGCTTCACACCTTGTCTCTCCAAATCTTAGCTCCACCTGCCTTTTCCCTGTCCAATCACAGGCTACTTGGTGTATTAATATTTAAATTAATTAGACAGGGAAAATTCTGATACACTTGAATTTGTAATTTTACTTCCTTCAATAGGTATGTTACCTCCCAAACTCTTATTTTTCTTCCTTTTGCAGGTACTGAGGACTGAACATATAGACTTAAACATCATAAGTGGGTTAGCTCTCCCATCTACCACCAAGCTTCAGGTTTTTCAACCACCGCTCTAGCTCATGTGATGCTCTTTAGGAAAGTGCACACATTAAACATTTCAAAATAGACAGCACTGATATTGAATGATAGCAAGGTTAAGATAACCTTCTTTGTCTTCAAGGAATCGATTAGAGACTTCTAGCATAAAAAGCAAGACTGGCTGATTAGGAAAAAACATACTCCCAAGGAAGGAAGAGGGCTGGAGGAAAGAGATGAGATGGAAAACCATTCTGCCGTAAAGAACCCGGTCTCTTCCTTCTCATGGCCACCCATCATGGTTTATCTTAATGGGGTTCTTGGTGAAACTTGGATCCTCACACTTATTGGCAAGTACTTTGTCAACTGAACCATTACCCGCAACTCTGTGTCTTTTCTATACATCATCTCTTTGCTATAGACAAAAGAGAATTGAGACATTTTCTCTCCCTACACCTTGGCAAAACTATGAAGATACTGTTTCCTTTTCCGGGGTCAGTCTGTCTGTGGTAGCAGTGAGCAATGGACTTCCCTGAGTTCCCTTTAGAGTAATACAGAGCAGCTTCAATTACAAGTGTCCCTGTGTGCATCCATTCATTTGTCCATTGCAATCACTCTACAGCTCAGCTGGACACTGCTCAACTGAACTCCACATATATTCTCTCCCTGTACAGCCCAAGAGAAAGCAGTGGATGCTCTCTGGAACATTCTAACTCCATTGCAGAGGCCCAGAACAGAATAACAATCACTGATATGCACAATGTATCTGAGGCTTAAGCTGGTGAGTCAAGCCCTCAACACCTACTTTTCAGGTTTCACCTCACAATCCAGGTTTTATTTTTACATGATAAAAGAAAACAGGAGACACAAGAACTTGTGAAATGTTGAAATAACTTTAAACTTTATTAAGTAAAAGTTGCATAAACACAACCATAAGTAATGAATAGAAAAGTTAAATACAA